TTTCTGCCAACTATGTTATATCTCAGTGTTGTGGTGAGGTACTCCCAGTAGACTACAGTGTATACATCTGCAACTAAATATAGTGTATGCATCTGATAAGTGGTGCAATAAGAAGTTGTGACACTTACTGAGTTGAAAAACTGTGATGAGTGTAATTTTTGCAGTATTAAAAAAATCTTTGGAAAATAGTTTGTAGCATTCTGAAATTTTGCGTTGAGAAGGAATGTGTGTGTTTTGGTCGATCCAGAATTTAAAGCTGACACTGACTTCTTACAGTTCTGAAGCGTGACCTGTTTGCAATTAAGTTAGAATGCATGAATGTCTTCCGTGCTGTCACTTGTACCTCTTGGATATCAGAAAAGGAGCTGGTGGAACTTTGTGTGTTTTAAAAAAAAACCCACCATGGCTCAAAAGAATTCCCTTCTGTTGCATCTTTGTGGTACCTGCTAGGTCCAGCACAATATCTTCTCTTGTGTTGGCTTTTTTTCCTATAATAAGTATATTTTCTTAATCTTATTTCTTAGAGATAAAAATGAAAAAACAGAGTTTGACTTTGACAAGGATAAATACGACATCAGAATTCCAGAAGACTTGGATGAAACAGGCAAAAGAGGATATAAAAAACAAGAGAGACTGGACCAGATTGTTCCAGAAAGTGACTACTCATTGCGAGTATGTATAACATTTTTATAAATGTTTCTTTTTGAAAGCTGTAGGGTGTCTTGTCTCTGTTCTAATATAATGTTCTATTCTACAGAAGTGTTGACTGAAGGGGGCAGACGAATGCCAGAATGTATGTGTTAGGGCAATATATTAGGAATTATTTCGAAAATTAAAGGTGGAATGTATTTGTGAACTTGGTAAATGTTTGCTGTTTTTTTAGAAGAAAGTTACTGGCCCTTTAGTAGTCTTGCAAATAACTTTTGCTGCTAAATGTAGCCATCATTATCAAATAAAGAGCAAGAAGGAAATGCAGTCAGCTTCAGAAATTAAACATGGGTGTGTGTGGTTGTCAGCAGAGTAAACATTCCATTGTAGTGCAGGTATACATGCATATAGTACTGGTGTCATTTCTAGGTTTCAAAAAGAGGTAAGGGAATTGGGAAGCAGCTCTGTTGGAATACATGCATGCAGACAGGGACAACTCTTCTATAGGTTAATTGATTAATAACCTTTGAAGGCTTCTTTTTGGAAGAAAGTGTATCTAGAATTATTATTCTGGGCACTTCTTGTGGGTAATATTCAGAAGTATTATTCCAGTTGAAGTAAAACTTTCAAGTCCTGAAGTCCTAAATCCACTTCAGTTATTAGAAGTTGTAAATAAAATGATAAATTAAATGCAAATTAAAATTAATAGATCTATATGATTGTATGAAGATTGCCTAGCTACTATCAAGCTATGATAATATGCAGTTGTTTAGAACAAAGTTAACATACTTGCTTTTGTTTGTTATTTTAAAGTTTGTAGAATTTTTAAGCTCTCAATAGGGGATAAGAAAAGGGAGGCTTGTGTGTCTGAGAGCACTTTTAGTAGTAAAACTGCATCTTCAGACACCTGGTGAACTTGTTAAATTCATAAAAGCTGTCCTTCAGTTGTTATTAATTTAATTTGTGATTTATGTCTCCTTATTATGCACACTTGCATTTCCTATTTTTCTGGATTCAAGTTGGAAAATAACACATTTCATAAAATACAATTAAAACTCGAGATTGTCTTCCTAAATGTGTATTGTAAAGTATTCATATCTCAAGGTTTGGAGTTGTTTTAACAGCAGTTATTGTATGTTTTGTAGGCTTATTGCAGTATTCTGTACCTGAAGCCAACAATGCAGATCATTCTACGAGGACAAAAAGTGAAAACACAGCTGGTTTCCAAGAGCCTTGCCTTCATTGAACGTGATATATATAGGCCAAAATTTTTGAATGTATCCTTTGCTAATATTTACATCATTGCACACTGAACTTAGTGGTGTGACTTTTCACATAAGCTGTCTGAGTTCTGCTGGGTATGTTGCAGTTACACTAGTTGGGTTGTTGTTTTTTTAATATATATTTTTTTTAATTTTGGGTTTTGTACAGACGTACTGACGGAATTATCTCAATGTGGAAAAAAAAAAAGTTCCAGGACCCAATTTAGAATCAGGCACATAAGATTAACCAGATTTTTCCTTAATATCTGGTAAAAGGCTAAAACAGTAAGAATTACTTTTGGATTTAACTGCAGAAACAAAGATCATTATGGAATAATGATGTACCATAAAAACAGACTCATCAAAGCTTATGAAAGAGTTGGCTGTCAGTTAAAGGTAAGAAATTAAAGATCAGAAATATTTTGAAATCTTTAGAAATTATTTTCACTCAAATGCAGATTTTATAAAAAGAATACAGACGGAAACTAGAAAATCAATGAGTGTTTATTAAACTACCATTTTAGTTTGTGCAGCAGTGAGAAATTTTATTAAATTATGTGCAGTCGTTTTAATGTTTATCTTTTAAACTAAGCTTGATACACGAAATATGGTCCTGGACATACCTTTTAGGACAAAAGAGGGGTGGAACATGGTTTTATTGTCAAGAGTTTCCTTTTGGAGAGGAGTCATAAACTAAGAGCATTATTTTTACTCAGTGTATATAGCTTATCATCACCTCTAACAAACATTATTGTTACTGACAAACAGTATTAGTATAGAATGCATGGTTTTTTTTCCTGATAGATCTTGATTTCTTACAGGCAAACAACATGGGTGTTGGTGTTGTTGGGATTATTGAGTGTAACTTCCTAAAACCAACTCATAACAAACAAGATTTTGACTACACAAATGAATACAGGTAAATGTATATTTTTATCTAGACTTTTTAATGAATAGTGTTGTTCACTATGAACAAAGGCAAAGACGTCTCCTTTTCTAAGAAGTAGGAATATTATGTTCCATCATAAAATTGTGTGGCTGTTCTGAACAGTAGGGGTGGGATGTTTACATGTATACTGGTCATACTGCATTCATTGTGCAGTCACTGAAATCTAGAGTACCATGTACATAATTTTCAAGTAAGTGCCCTAAAAGAGGTTGGTTGCTATTCTGCCTCTCACTGATTGCCCTCAGAATAATTCACTGAGATGTGGATAATTGTATGGTATGTGACTAAAATTGATATATCAATGCCATACTAATAACTTGTTTCATAACAATTTATTTAGTCTTTAAAAAGCTTTGGATTAAAAATTTAAAAAGCCCTTCTTTTTAGTTTCTTCCCTAAGAGTGGACTTGAATGTCCTCAAATCCTCTGCTACTGGATAGAGAATTTAAAATACCTGACATCCTAAAGGCAGAAACGATTGGGGACATTGCATTGTTTCAGTTTTATTTCTAACTCGGGAATGCCACTTTTTCACATATCTGCATCCATCCCATTCAGTATCTAGTGTGATATTTTTTTATAATTAACCTGTGAATCAGGTTGGGAATCTAGTCTGACTTAAAGTTTTCAAATATGATAATTGGTTTTAAGTCAGGTGAACTTCCTCATCTGTTTACACTGCCCTACTGTAAATCAATTATGCTCGCATTGTGGAAGGAGAGGGAGGGAAGATTCAAGAGGATGAGTTACCTAAGCAGTTTTCAGGCTGAGGTGTAAAAACTGTCTAGGGAAAATATTCTGAATACAGACCTTGAGAGTTGTTCCACTGTTTCTTTTCATAATGGCAAGGTTATTTTCTGTTTCCTGCACTGCTTTGTGTTATGGGATATTTGGAGAGGCAACCTCCTCCAGCAGCTCTGTCTTGGGACTCTCTCCTTTCCCAGCCACTGGAGCCCAGAGTTTCTGCCCAAGCTGAGGCATGTGACTGCCGCTTTCCTGTTTCAAAGTTCAGCCAGTAGCAAAGCTGAGCTCATCTTCCAGAGACGCACACACTGAGGACACTGACGTGGCTGGTTACACAAGCTGCCACCGACAAGGTGCATCTACATATGGGACTCACATAAAACATGAACAGACAAGTCTCCTTCCTCTTCTTCAGCTGGTAGAGATAGAAGTTCACTAGTGAAGGCATGTGCATGACACTCTAGATTCACAAGCACGTGTACATTTGTGGATTCCCTGAGTACTGGCTCAGTACTTCTGTCCTCATGGTACTCCTACAAGGATCCCAGACCCTCTTACCTGCTTCACAGGCCCCCTACATGCTGGCTAGTGCAATTTGATATTTGCTAGCAAATGTGTGCACTCACACACTTGTGCCACAAACACTCCATATTTGCAACTGCCCCTGGGTGTACCAGCACAACCCTTTGCCTGGCTGATACCCCTTGCTGGACCCAGGGCTTCTTACTCACTGCCAAGTCCAGCTTGGAGTTTTCTAGCAAATACATGTGAATGCCCTATGCACACCAGGACTGGGGAAGATGCAGCTTCCCTTCCACTACCAGCCAGCACCAGGCACATAGGCTGTGACCCACAGTCCAGCTCCAGTTGTCAGCACTGAGCCCCTCACTCATGCTGAACCACCTCAGAAGCTGGTTTTTGAGGGACACATCATTCCTGCCTCATTGAGTGGCAGCTGAGACCCCTCAGTGACTCCAGTAGCTGACACCATACCATCAGTTTGACTCCAGGAGCTGGCATCAAATCCACACAAACAGAGCTGCAGTAGCTGACAGTTCTTGCCATACAGATACACATGAGATAAAGAATGTGATTATGCAGAAAGATTGTGAAGAAAATGTTAAGAAGATGTAAGAACATGGGGTAACAGGGGGAGATCAGGCACAGGGCTCAGCCAAACAGCTGTACTGACAAGCAGTGTTTAACATGGAACCAGCTCCACCTACCCTTTTCTGTCTACTCCCCTCTTTGTTCCTCTCTGCTCCCTTTCACCCTGCACATTGACTCATCCATAGCTCCACTGACCCCCTCCAAAAATCATGGACCTTCAGGTTTGCATCCTTATTCATTGTAAAATTCCAGTGTCCCTGCAGTTTCTTGATGGCCTGTAAATTAGTGTGACTGACTGGGGTTATTTCTGGTTCTTGTCTCTGTTAATGCTAATTGGTCCAGTTTTATAACTCTGTGTTTGTATCCTTCCCTTTCCTTATCCTCCTGACTTAAAAAATAAACATTCTTACACTCTACATATCCTTACCAGTTAGTGTGACTGGCTAAGTTTGTTCTTATCGCTACCTCCCTTATCAGTCAGGTTTATCTGTTTGTCCTTTTTTATGGCTCCTTCAGCCATATGCCCTTAAAGGAGCAGGCACTTTCCTTCTGTATGCCCTTACACTTGCTTTCAATATGGACTTAGAAATTTAATGTATTGACTTGCAAACATGAGGGGGTAAACTTTGGCCAGAGAAGTCATTACCTTTCTCAAGCTGCATGTTTTGTTCTTCAACCAGTTGTGGTTCAGCTTCCACTGGCAACCTGAACAGTGCCTTTGCTGAGTTGCTGATTTATACACAGCTCTGCATATAAAGATAACCCAGAAACCACCCTAGAGTGCTGTAACAAACAGAGCTGTTAATTGTAGCGATTCAGAAATTATAACAAGATAAATCTGGTCATTCCTGGTGTTGAAAGAGCAGCCCTCTGGGGGAGGAGCAGCAAGCCTGATAGTTGCTACACCCACTAAGTTCAATCTTCCTGTATCTTTAAATGGTGCCTGCGGTTTATGTTGATATTTGCAGTGATATTACCAGCTGTAAGCAGTTCCCATGTTTTTACCACCATTGTGCTAGCAGAGCCATTCATGAGAACACATGGTAAAGCAGTTCAGGGAAATGGTCAAACCAGAAAATAGCTGTTGTGTTAGTTTTTTTGATACAGAAGTGCCTTGGAACCACTTTTCCTGTGTGGTGGCTCTAACAGGTCCCTTGGCAGAGTGGTAGGAACGAGGAATGCCTTAAGGTAGTAATTTGTGTCAAACAGGCTTTACACTATGTTCCCACAGGCTGGCACAGTAAGCACTGAATGCTTTTTACTTGCTTCTTTTTAAAGCCACTTGTGGGCATAGAAATACTACACTTGGAAGATCTTTTATAAAGGTTATTCTCCAGAGTGCTGGAGGTTTTCAAAAGGTAACTTTCCAGCCCGAAACAGAAACGTAAAACTGATGTTGTACTTTCATGGCGAGTGTAAGCTGAGCTGCCCTTCCCTCTCTGGAAGAGAAACATGATCCCATCTGTGCATTGCTGCTCATTTCTGCCCTTGTGCTTTTTCACCTTTGTGGCACTGAAATGCATTACTTGGGTTCAGAGGTAATCTAGATCAAAACTCTCTAGGTCAGACTAGAGAGCACAAACTGCACAAACACTTGTGTTAGTTCAAGGGATGGGGTGATGTAGGTGTTGGAATAAGCCAGACCGGGAGGGACTGACTGGCTACCCAGCCACTTTAGTTTGACAGAAATTCAGCATGCTGCTGAGAGGCACTCTCACCTCTGCCTCTCCTGTGGGGCTTATTGGTGTTCTGCATCACTCCCTCCTGTGGTCACTAAGCTGTGCAATGAACCTTCATCAGGAAACTAGTCCAGCTAAAAATTAACATAGGGAAA